AATGCATTCTTTTTGATATATCTATCTTTAATTTTATTGAACAAATTAATTATTCTACATTTGTTAGTGAAAAGACGAATAATTTAATTTACACAACAGATGTTGTTAGCGATTTAAATTTTACTGATATTCATAATTAACATAATTATTTAAATTATGCATTTCGCAATTCTCCTTTTCTCTAATATGTCTAAATCCTGATCTGATATACACACCTAATACATTAAAATAAACTACTTCCTTCTGTCACATTAATTTATTAATTGCTCAACCATTGAAAAGTTATAATTTTAATAAAGAAAGCAGCCTGCAGACTGATTTAGTGAAAGTATCTCCTAGCGTTCGATATTCAAGATCAAATGTGACTAGATGAATAGACGCTCAAGGAGCGAACGTAAGATGAAAGTCATCCAATTATCTCCAAGTAGTGTCATGAACACATAGACCAGTAAAAAATTTCTAATATTTAATGAAGATGGGATTTTATAAACGTCAAATCTCGGTATTTATACAAAATAAAGTTACGGGGTAGGATTACCAAATGGACGGAATTAATATTAACGCAATTATGCGAAGTGATCGCTGATTAACTAAATGTTTAATATAAACTACCATTCGTACTTTGTTTGAGCTTTATTTTGCTTCATTTAATAAGTCTACACTAATGAAATGTATTAATGGAGGATAATGTTCCCGATGCAGAATGTCAAACTCGAACTTTCTACCATTTTCCAAAAATAATAATTATCAGAAATATTGAACATAAAAATTATAAAAAAAAAAAGATAAAATATTAACCGTCATATCGAAACTGAAAACCCTGTTTATCGAGAAAATTCATATGTTGTTTTCTCATTCAATTAAAATGAATGTAGCACGTCAACTAGACGTAGAAATACTACTAAAAAATTTTCATTGGTTGTTATTTATAAATCTAATCGGTCTAGTATTGGAAATAAAAAAAGATGAGGAAAAAGATTGCCACAATAGATCAGAATGCCAAACTGCAGTAAGACTGGATATTATAGCAAAATATCAGACAATACCTACAAATTTTACCCTCAGAAGTAAAGCATGCCCTACAGAATGCATAGCAAGGAAAAGCATCTGGTCCTGATCAAATTCCAGTTGAACAAATCTTAGATGATGGTAATATAAGAAGACCCGCCCGAATTCTCAACCTAACATATGTAGAGAGCAATATCCTGGAAAAATGGCTTAAATCGATATTTTTCCCTCTATCAAAAAACAATAATCCCAAATCATGTAATGACTATAGATTGATAAGCCTAATGTGCCACCCTTGATAGATTCTCTTGAAAAATGTTCAAAATCGAATTAATAAGAAATGTTAGGAGCAGATAGATCAAACGCAATTTGGCTTCAGAAGAGGCACTATTTGCAATGACAGTACTCTTGCAGAAATGTCAGGAATATAACAAGAGTGCATATGTATGCTTCATCGACTTTGAACGAGTGCAGCATATGAAGTTAATAGATGAATTAAAAAACATCAGTTTAGACAAAAAACACTGAGTTTATTAAGGCTATATACTGAAACCAGAAACCAGTAGTAAAGGTGAACGATATAGAAACAAATAATATATTGACTGCGAGAGGGGTCAGGCAAGGATGCGTCTTGTCTATGCTTTTCAACGTATACTCACAGGTTATATTTAGAAAAGCTTTATGGGAAAGAAAAGAGGAAATAAGAATTAGTGGAGAAATCGTAAACACCATAAGATTTGCAGATGACACAGTAATTATAGCTAAGAGTATAGAAGAACTACAAACTTTATTAGATGCAATAAATAGTGAATGCATTCAAATGAGACTTGACATCAACACAGATAAGCCCACATTTATAATAGTATCAAGGAGTACAATAAATAATAAACAACCAACCCTTGGTGAACAGCTAATAGAGAGAGTGACAAAATATAAATATCTGGGAGCTTACATTAACACAGAATTAGATCCATACCAAGAAATCAGGGTACGAATAGAAATGGCAAGCAATTATTCTGTGACAAAAATCTGAATACTGCGCTGTACGTCTGGTCCCAACTATTGTACGGGGTAGAAGGTAGAAACATGGACGTTAAAAGCGCAAATAGTTAAGAAGCTTGAAGCCTTTGAACTTTGGATATACCGGAGAATGTTGAGAATTTCATGGACTGCCAGGGTCACCAATTAGGAAGTGCTAAGAAGGATGGGTAGAGACAAGAAATTGTTGAGAACAATAAAAGTACGCAAGACTGCATACCTTGGACACATATTGAGGAATGATAAATATGGTCTTCTGCAGGTCATCATGCAGAGTAGAGTCGATGGCACAAAGGGAATAGGTAGAAAAAAGAAGTCCTGGCTACGAAATATTCGAGACTGGACAAACATGACTGTAGACAAATTATTCCATGTTGCTAAAGACAGAGAAACTTTTAGAAATGTGGTCGCCAACCTCCGTTAATGGGATCGACATAGGAAGAAGAAGATGAGACAAAGGGCAAAGATTGATAACTAGCACCCATCTGGTGAAGTAAACAGTACACACCGGAATATGGAAATAAAAACATAATATAAATATAAAAAACGTTAGTACTAAGCATCATGCCTTACCGTACAAGAGAATGGTATATATAAAAAATAAAAAGCAGATAATAAAATAAAAAAAGCAGTAAGAGAGCTATATCAAAAATAAAGTACTCTCGAAGATCCTGTCGCGTATCAACCATATACAGAGAAAAATGAGGAAATTAGATAAATGTATAAAATAAAATCAACCTTAAAGGGATGTTGTTTTAGGTATATGTATAATAAGTTGAAAACCCACAGATGATACTTTAGGATAAATAACCATTTGAAACACACCATCTTAACATAAGACGTTGTACCAGAATCTTTCTAAAGATTGTACTTTACCGGTGATGTGACGATGACCAGAAAACTATAGTGGTCGAAACAAGTCAACATAGATTGTGAGTACGTGTGTCATTTATTTCTAACTCCTAATAAATAATTGTTAAGTACATTTAAAAACACTCTTATAAATAAAGATTTGACATGACAATTTAGAATTAAAAAAAATCCTTGTACTTTTAAAATCAAAAAGTTGTACAGAAAAAAGAAAAAAATTTGACTTATAAAGATTTAATAATATCATTATTTAGCAGGAAAAGGTTAAAGCAGACAAGGGGAGCTCTCATGTCTAAAAAGCAGAAGTAGCTGCTGTAGTAAATTAAAAAATTCTCTACAGAAATTCGTGTATTCAAATATAATTTCCGAAGTAAAAATTGAAACATCAAAATAAACATATTTTGAATTAAAATTATGGTTAGTTCGGAGTAAAAATAATACATTTTAATAAGATGCCACAAGAAAATAGCTTCAGAACAACTCATGTTAGAATAGAGATATCCAGAAATATGTTTTATAGGATGAAAGTTGTAATTTGCAATCTGGGCTTTAATTTAATGGTTAGGCTTCGAGTACGAACCTGTTAGTATTTGCAACCCTTTTAAATAGACTAGAGGCATAGACCATTAAATTTATACTATAAACAGCGAGCCAAAGTACGTGTTAACGAACAGCTGTCAGAAGAAATTGAAATTAGATATGGAGTGAGACAGGGATGAGTATTGTCGCGAATTCTTTTTATTGCCTACTCCGAAGAAATCCTAAAAAACGCTCTTGAGGGTGAAACAGCTAAAATAAAGGTAAATGGAGTTTCCATTAACAATATTAGAGATGCTGACGACACTGTGATCTTAGCCGAACATATTATAGATCTTCAGAGACTAGTGACCAGAATAGCAGAGTATGGAAAAGAGTATGTTCTAACAATAAATATCAAGAAGACGAAATTTGTAAGTATATCGAAAACTCAAAGAAATAACGAGAATCTTTTAAAAAACGGAACCAATGCTGAACAAGTGGAAAAATATGCATTATCTGGGAACAATGATTAACTCCACAAATGATTACATTCAGGGGTTATAAATTAGAATAGATAAGGCTAGAGCAAATTTCAACAAAACGAGTAGAGTGCTATGTACAAGGGATTTAAAATTGGAACTAAGAGTTAGGTTGGCGAGGTGCTATGTTTTTTAGACTTTATTTTATGGAATGGAATCTTGGACCTTAATTGCGACATCAATGAAAAAACTGGAATCATTCGAGCTGTGGGTGTATAGAATTCTGAAAATATCGTGGATAGAACACGTCACAAACAAAGAGGTTCTAAGAAGGATGAATAAAGAAATGGAGATTTTAAATACAATTAAAACAAAGAAATTGAAATATCTTGGACATATTACACGTCGAGAGAAATACACCTTGCTGCAAATGATTATGCAGGGAAATATCCAAGGAAAGAGAAGCATAGGGAGGCGTAGAATGTCATGACTTCGCAACCTGAGAGAGTGGTAAGGATGAACATCAAATGAACTTTTCAGAGCAGCCGTTTTAAAAGTCCGCTGCGAAGATAGCACTTGAAGAAGATAGGTCCTTACAGAAACGATTAGTAAAAAATAAGAGCATGTAAAATGTGGTGCTAACGAAGAATGATGCGTACTTTATGGACTCATATTTGAAATGGGATGAGAAACGATAAAAACCGCGTTCTATAAGTTATCATACAGCGTAAACTAAGATGAAACAGAGGGCTGAGTAGACGATGGATGTCTTTGATGAAAAATCTGACAATGTGAAAGGGAAAACATACTTATAAATATTCTTTGGAGCCATTGTCAACATACTTATTTGTACTAGAATGATCTGCAATTTTAAATAAATGTATAAAAGGGAAATAAGAAGAAATAAGAAGATTGTTTCGCACAATAATCTTTTTTAAACACTTCAATCTCTTTTGCAACGTGAAATCCAGTGAAATAGTTCAATCTCTGATATTCAACACAATTTTTTTAAAATTGTAGACGAAAACGAAGAACAGATAACGGAGCAAAAATTAGTACGTTTTAACCTGTTTGATTGTAACGCACCTGCCCATCTCTACGTGATAAACGCATCGTTCCGTTAGCACCGATTCCGGTGCATGCCTTTGAAGTTTCTTTGTTCATGCTTTGTTCATGTAAATGAATTGTTCGCGAAAATTGGCACTGCTCTGATAAGTTTTAATTGATTCGGTTTTAATTGAGAAACCGCATGAGATTTGTTTCTGTCGGTCTGTAAATTATTTTGACGAAGGTAAGTAATTAATTGGACAATTCCGCCTCGACATCGCACACTTTTTCATTAAATTCTCCAAGTCGAAAGAATTTATATACCGTTGTTTTTATAAAATGGAAATGGCTTTTTGAAATTGAGCTGTCTGGACAATTAACGGGAATTTATTTTTATTGGGCTATTTTAACTAGTATTCGGGAGAAATTGTACAGTCACTTTGGAGAACCTATTGGTTTAATGTAAAATTCGGAATAAGTATTCGTGTGCTCAATTTGGGTGAAAAGGAGTTATTATTAGATAAAAGTACAAGTAAAATAATAAATACCAAAAGGTATGAGTATATTTCAAATTCTACTAGAAGATATTTTTGACAGGTGACAAGTGACAGACGTTTTTTCCGTAAACTCAAAATAATCCCAAACGGGTAGACAACTTAACTCAAATTATTCCTTGTGTCCACCAAATTGGGTGTATAATGATTTATTAGTTAAATAAGTGCGAACACATCTATATTTGAGATCGAAAATTATGATTTGGAAATGTTGAGGTGAAAAAAAATCTAATAACAGAAATCTGCTTTACCAAAAAACGTTAATTTTAAAGAAGAGTGTACACACATATGGGTAAACAGTAAAAAACTTTATTTCATTGCAGTACGTGTTTGACAATTCGTTATTTAATGTAGCTTTCATTTAGCTAAATAGTAGATATTTATTTGTAAATAAAAATGTATAAAATGTATAAAGAGCTAGAAGATAGAATAGCTGAAAACCAATTGGGATTCAGAAAAGGCTTTGGCACCAGAGAAGTATTAGTTACTGTACAAACACTAATCCAACGATATCGAGATGTCAATTGCGACATGTTTATATATCTATTCGACTTCGAAAAAGCTTTCGACAAAGTACAACACCAAAGAATGGCAAAAATACTGCAGAACACAGATTTAGATAACGAAGACGTAAGAATGATAAATCGTGGAGTAAGACAAGGATGTGTGCTTTCCCCTTTACTTTTTAATATTTATTAAGAAGAATTATTTCAAGGGTCATTAGATGACGTAAATGAAGGCATATTTAAAAACGGAGCACTTCTGAATAATCTTAGATATGCAGATAACACAATACTCCTTGTGGTCAGCAGAGAAGGACTGCAGATCTTGGTTGATCGCATTACCCAATACTGCGAAAGGTATGGAATGGCACTGAATACAAATCGTTTATGCTAAAGGAAAACTTTTAGGGAGGGTGCACAGATATCAGTACTTAGGTTGCGAACTAAATGAAGAATGAGATAGAAGTCCTTAAATAAAAAGGCGTATTGAGATAGCTAGAAGTTCTTCTAATAAGATAAAAGCAATATTAAGCAATAGATACATAAAAGCCAATAGATTAAGATGGGCAGGCCACGTGGTACGGAGTGATGACGACAGATAGCAATGTGTTTTGGGAAAGACCAGATGGTAGAAGATCAACAGGAAGGCCTAGAAAAAGGTGGAAAGACGCAGTCAGGGAAGACCTGGAGAAGATGGAAGTAAGGTAATGGGAAATAATAGCACAGGATCGGAATCAATGGAAGGCAATAGTAAACGCGGCAAAAACTCACGAAGAGTTGTAAAAGCAAATGATGATGAATATTATGCAATGGAAAACTCAACATTGAAATTAGAACTAGAAAATTGAGATGCTACGTGTTCTCTGTTCTGCTGTATGGAGTTGAGGCCTGGACAATTACAGAGGCGACAGAGAAAAGACTTTGAAATATGGTGGTATCGAAGAATGTGGGAAATATCTTGGATTAAACTAGTAACTAGTGAATCTGACCAATATTCATCAGTAAGTGACAAAAACGTTGAAGAGATAAATGACAATTACCAAAGTGACACTGATTTATCTAAAAGTGAGGATGTTATTGAATTATATTAAGATTAATAAAAGGCAAAAATAATTATTTCTAGTTTAGAGTTTATCTTGGGAAAATAGGGAAGACATTTATTAGAAAAGAAACATTTTGATGAATGTTTGGGTATTTGTCAAAAAACTTGGGGTTAAACTTTTTGTATGTAGTATAACTAAAATATTTACCTCACTCATATGTTTACTTATTTTAAAGTTACGGTAAGTATACTTATTTTTGAGCAATTAATACATAATTTACTCCACGACTTGGAATTATTTCACATCGTCGATCAAGAAGTTCGGACATGGGGAATTAGAATTTATATTCGAATTATTTAATATTTGAGTTTACACATTTACGTTTATTGTTAAGGAATATTTTAAATATAAGGATGATAAAAAAAGAAAAGGTATGGTTTTTTTAGGGTAATTATACTGAAAAATTTAATAACACTAAAGAAATGCTTCAACGGCCAAATCAAAAGACAGCAAGTATGGGGTTAATATTTGTTAATTTAAGAAAATACCGTCCATTCGAAATGATCTAATATAAGTAGGATATATTCTACTATACTATACTATACTATACTAGAAACAGAACAAACGTACACTTTATAAAAGCAACAAATTGAAATGATGTTTGGTCTAGCATATGGCAAGGCAATTTTAAAATAAATAAGCTTTTAAAATAACAGAATAAAGAATATTAACAAAAAAACTGTTTTTGCTGAAAATTTGACAAAAAATATATTGAACAAGTGTTTCTTGTTGCGTAGTGAACAAGTGTGATTGAACAAGAAAATGCATGTAAGTTTTTAATGAACCGATCTAATTTTTCTCAACCTAATTTTTGCTAATTTGATGATAAAATTATCAGCAAAATTGTAACATGTAGATATTTAATATAAAAGTCATTAAACTGTGTAGATTACACAAAAAAGTTCTAATACATTTAAAAATAACACATTTAAGACTGATACCACAAAAAATTTAGATAAAAACAAAAGAAAATCCAATAATAGAACACAGCGTTGAATTAGTCTTTGAAAAATATGAAAATTTGTTGAAAAAGAAAAATTTTTGTGAATGCTAAAAGTAAGTTATATTCTCAAACTAAATTTAAGTAATCCTAAAAGTCAATCAACAATCTAAGGAACAATTAAATATAAGAGTAAAAGTGAAAAAAAACGTTTTAAAATGACATAAATTAATTTTTGAGTGCAAAATATATAATTACCACTTATTGGGAATAATGACAACAGACAAAAAATACTGAAAAATAGGTGAAAGGCCACTAAATGAACAATGAACTAAATAACAAAATCAACACTCTCAAAATGCATTAAACTAAAATATTAATAAAAAAGTGTCTTTTAAAAAAATGTAAATTTTTGACATTTTTGTAAAAAAATTAAGTTATTAAGTTTTTTAATTATATCAAGTTTTATTTTTGCAAATTATTTTCAAAAATAAAACCAAGTTTTAAAAATAAATTCACTATGAATACCACGACGAAACACTAAAAAGACACTTTTAATTATAATACCACTTCACTGCGTAATCAAACACAAAATATATGAAATAAACTTACAAAGTAATTCATTGTAACTCGCTTGGGTAAGTTGTGTAAAGCTTAAGATGAGTGAATCAACTGATAGTTCGTTTAAGGAAAGTTCGCTTTATATACTGATACGATTCTTTCACTACTTTCACTGCATCCCTAACAGATTGTCCATGACCATCCTATGATATTAGAATGATATAATCATCAAAAATAGTCCAATGTGGTTTTTTGCATTTAGAAATTTTGCTTTATGACTTGTAGATTTGATAGTTTGATCGATTGAGAATTGCAGTGTGACATAAAACGTGACTTTCTATTTTTTAAGAGTTTTTAGTATCAAATATAAAATTAAAAAATCTAGAATATATAATTAATTAATGAAAAAGTACTGTAGAAGTGGATTACATTGATAAGAACTTTTTAATTGTGTTAGTTATAAGAATAGGTACAATTCTTAGTCTTAATACCAGTTTTAAGAATTTCAGACATGACTAGGTAAAAAAATTGATAGTGTATTTTAATATAACGCCCATATCTTCTTCCGCCAAGGAGGTTGACAATCGTCAATGCTATTCTTATCGTTGAGATCGCTACAGGGAATAATTTTATTACATTGGATCCTAAATATTTTCTGAGATTTATCAACTCGGATATTCTTCTTCGTCCTACGCTGCGTTAACCTTACATCTTGCCCTGCATTATTAATTGTAGGGTGTTATATTTTTCATCACAAGATATATTTGCCAAATATGGAAGTTTTCTCACTTTGGCGGTAAATGGTTATTTATTTTGAGCATTGCTTCTTTCTCTGTACAAAATATTTTTAATTATCACTATAACCGTGTGTACACGATGTTTACTTTTGTCAAGTTAAATCCATATTGGGTCAATATGTGTAGCCTAAATGGTTTTTTTCAGTTTTTAAGTAGCAAATACATATATATATATATATATATATATATATATATATATATATATATATATATATATATATAAGAAAAAAGAAGTACTTGTGACTCGTTTGGAAAAAATATAACACTGTTTTTGATGGATTGGAGTCAATAAAAGGGGATATTTGTTGACTATTTTTTACTCGAGCTTTCAATTGTGATTACAATTTTTATCAAGAGCTTCTAAAAAATACAAAATATCTTACAAAGTTGAACTAGAAATAAAAAATTTTTTGTTAACTCACAAATAAAATTAGTTTTTTATATAAAACTACTGCTTACATATTAAATACAAAAAATATTAATAAAAAAATGTCTTATTCTAATAAATGTTTCTCTGAAAAATTTTGATGAAGTTTCTTAAGAAAAAAAATTGAATTTGTAAACAAAAATAGAATAGCTACAACCAGCCTAAATGTCATAAATACTAACTTAAAAATTTTATTTTTGACATATTGTCAAAAATAAAATTTTGTTTAAAA